AACCTATATATATATATATATATATATATATATATATATATATACACACACAAACACACACACAAAATGAATAATTGGATATTAAATCCGACCAATTCTATAGGGAATCTACCCATCCATGAATTGCTGTAGGATTATGTTGTCTCATGTCTCTCGTCTTAAATATGTTATCATATCTACACTGAATTTTCATGCCATGTTGGATTGTGTATGGGATGTGAACCTTATATGGTTTATATCACTCATGTTAACCGTATTTGCAGGTGTATTTGTGCTGTAGGATCACTTGTAGACGTAGTCACGTATACCGTCCTAGACACGGGTGCCAACACAAATATTAAAGTTGATGATTCATATCCATCTAACTTTAAGATTTGTGTCGAGATGTGTACGCATGATATTCTCTTTCTTTCCTGTATAATTTTCTATATAAGGTTCTCCAGAGGTTGAACTTGACCAAATTTAAAGGCTGGTTCACCGCTAGATTCTTATACTTAATTTTCATTTGTTATTACTTATTATGTGTTTCTCTATTTGACATCATATTATTTTAGATGGTTATACCTTCATGAACCAACACTATTATAAATCTGAACTCTCATCTGAGTCATTTAAGTCTGAAAACTATGTTTTAGTCCAAAGTAATGCAAAAAATTCTAATATATACTGTTCACGCGCCTGATCAATTTAGGTCAATTCAACCTCTCATCAAAATCAAAGCCCCGTGACTCTTCGTCAATGATACGTGGGCAAGCGGATCTTAGCACGTCAGTTCAAAAGGACATTAGGCTGACCCTAATAAGACGCAGTATGGGCTCCAAGGATTTCTGTGAATTACAAAGCTAGCGCTCTATTATTTAAGGAAAGACACCAATCATTGTACGCACATGAGGGAACACACATAGATAATAATAATAATATCAGCTAAGGTTTGATTCCCGTATCATGAATAGTGAATGTCATAGTTTTGTTGAGTCTGGGGACTAATCTATTTGGATAGGGACCGGCACGACATGTTATGGGCATTTCGTCCTATTGTTTGAAGGCCATCTCTAAGGCTCTAACAAGTGAAAGCATTCATTTTCAAATCAAGTGAGTGGTTGGATTAGAACATCTTGCAGAGAGGGGTGATCTACTTCTTGTATATTTGATTTGAGGTTTTTAGACCCGGATGTTCAGTTAATAGGTTCTCAAGCTCAGAGTTTAGATAGAGAGTTACTGATTTAGATCCTCATTTGACCAAATATTGGGCAGTGAAATTCAGGTATGATAGTTAAGAAATCAATGTAGCCCAAACCATTTCCTAAAATTCCCCTCCCCCAAATTAGTCTCGTGCTACTCATTTGTTCTGCGTTGCAGCTAAGAAATGGTTGGAATTAGAATAATTTATAGAAGAGTCGCTTTGATTTCCTGTGTTTTTCTATGCGCTTTTATGTAATGTAATACATAGGCTGAGGCCCTCTTTTCCCTCAAAAACAAATAAAAAATTAACACAACGGCTTAAAAAAAGCCAAGCTGTAGATTCCTGCCACCCTTGACATATGCAGCATCAATGTAGTTATTTCCTAAACTATAAGATACTAAAAATTGAGATACTGGGTGAGGGTACACATCCTTACATAAGGGCAGCAGCATAAGCTATACCTTGACCGTACACCAAGATAAGGAAAAAGGAGACGCATCAAATATTCAAATATATTTAAAAAAAACCCCCACCAATATATAAGGTTCTCCAGAGGTTGAACTTGACCAAATTTAAAGGCTGGTTCACCGCTAGATTCTTATACTTAATTTTCATTTGTTATTACTTATTATGTGTTTCTCTATTTGACATCATATTATTTTAGATGGTTATACCTTCATGAACCAACACTATTATAAATCTGAACTCTCATCTGAGTCATTTAAGTCTGAAAACTATGTTTTAGTCCAAAGTAATGCAAAAAATTCTAATATATACTGTTCACGCGCCTGATCAATTTAGGTCAATTCAACCTCTCATCAAAATCAAAGCCCCGTGACTCTTCGTCAATGATACGTGGGCAAGCGGATCTTAGCACGTCAGTTCAAAAGGACATTAGGCTGACCCTAATAAGACGCAGTATGGGCTCCAAGGATTTCTGTGAATTACAAAGCTAGCGCTCTATTATTTAAGGAAAGACACCAATCATTGTACGCACATGAGGGAACACACATAGATAATAATAATAATATCAGCTAAGGTTTGATTCTCGAATCATGAATACTGAATGTCATAGTTTTCACTACAACAAATTACACTTTTCCCGACGCTTATTCCCGACACATGGTTAAATACGTCGCAAAAAACTATGTTTTTCCCGACGATTTTAGTTAGCGTCGGCAAAACATATATTTTTCCAAATACGTCGCAAAAAACTATGTTTTTCCCGACGATTTTAGTTAGCGTCGGCAAAACATATATTTTTCCCCATGTTTATAATTAGCGTCACTAAAAGTGTATATTATTTGCGACGTTTTAACTTAGCATCGGTAAAAGTGTATGGATTTCCCGACATTTTTTCATTTTCGTCGGTAAAAGTATAGCTTTTAGCGACGTAAAAACATTCGTCGTAAAAAAATATACATTTAGCGACGCACGTTAGCGTCGGCAAAAGTGTAGCTTTTAGCAACGAACAGTTTTGCGTCACTAAAAGTAAACATTTTTGCCGACGCTATATTGCGTCGGCAAAAGTATAGTTTTTAGTGACACAAAAATATTACGTCGCTAAAAACTATACATTTGCCGATGCTATACTATTCATGTGCGTCGCCAAATTCCCCCCCTCCCCCCCTTTTTCATTTCCCGGCCTACTTTTCAATTCCTCCCCCTCTTTTTTAAATTTCCCTCTTCAAGAAACGAACGGGTCTTTTTCCGGCGAGGAGGATGGCATCAAATTCTTCGGCGGTGATCAGAGCGTCAGCCCAGACCCTCACCGACCCCAATGAGCTCATCGGCTCCGTCGAAACCTTCATCTTTGATTGCGATGGTCAGCTCAGCCCCCCCCCAAGCCTATCATACCATCTTTTACTAGAACTTTGTTTAGAGTTTTTGATTCTTTCTTTTTGATATCTTTTTTATTTGTCAAATTCATTGAGTGCAGGGGTTATTTGGAAAGGGGACACTCTCATCAGTGGCGTCCCTGAAACCCTGGATACACTCCGCTCAAAGGTGGGGTTTTTTTTTAACGCTTTTGCTTTTGCTTTTTTTTCTTATTTAAAATTGGAATTTTATCCTGTTTACTGGGTAACTTAGGGGAAAAGATTGGTTTTTGTGACGAACAACTCGACAAAATCCCGAAAGCAATACGGGAAGAAATTCGAAACTTTGGGATTGAATGTCAATGAGGTCAGTTACTTATTATTATGTCCGTTTGGGTATCTATTTATGTGTTGTTCTGTTTTTTTTATTTTTATTTGAGTTGGGTTATTGTTATAGTGATCTTTTGTGGATTGGTGTAGGAAGAGATCTTTGCCTCGTCTTTCACTGCTGCTGCTTACTTGAAGTCCATTGACTTCCCTAAGGATAAGAAGGTTCATGCTTTGTTTTCACCGAATTAATTGTTGAAACCTATTTCAACTTGTTTTCGCCTTAAAATTTGCGCATTTTTCATGAACTTATCCGTTATGTTTTTACCTTGAGCAGAAAGGAACTGGTGATCTGAAATGTTTTTCTTCAAATGTCAGGTGTATGTGATAGGTGAGGAGGGAATTCTCAAGGAGCTTGAACTTGCTGGATTCCAGTATCTTGGTGGTCCGGTATGGTAAACTATAATCTTTCCTATAAAATCTATGTTAAACAAAAAGCAATGAATACATTTCATCGACTAGAATGTTAGAGTTTCAGCTTCTATTTCCTCTCCCAGTTCAAGTTGTTATCGAATACATTTCATCGACTAGAATGTTAGAGTTTCAGCTTCTATTTCCTCTCCCAGTTCAAGTTGTTATCTTTGTACTCGATAATTCTTGGTCATTTTTCAATTGCGGGAAGTCTGGGTTCATGTTAAAGTTAGGACTACACTGTTATATGAAGTATACAGGGAAGGGCTGAGAAGTTCTTAGAAAAAAAACACAAACTAGACAAGTGAATAATCCTTCTAAGGGGTTGGATATAATCAACAAGTGCTTGGTTCTTCGAGCCTTAGGCATAGATGCTGAAAAGGAAAAATGTGTTCTTGAGTGCATAGAAGTAGACAACAAATTTGCTAACAGGACCTAACATCCATATCGGAGACTTCTCGACAAATGAGATGGATAGAAGTAGATAACAAAATCATCCATTTACCAATTACCGCTCAAAGTTGCGATAAGAAAGCGGGAGGAAGAATCAACAAGATATCAGAAAACTCAAGCAGCTATGGTTTCTAACCTATATACATTATCCACAGTGATAACTCAAGCAACTTTGGAGTATATGCAATGGATTGGACAGGTAGACACCATGTACACACTGTTCTCTGGCACCTCTCTGTTTTGTCCCTTTCTTGCAAAATTTCCTTTTTGCGTAATTTTCAAATGCCTCTAGTCTCTGTCTGCATGATCTTTGCTATGATTTTGCTTGAAAATCTTGCTTCTGTTCCCCCTACTTAATGATCCATCTGTAGTATTTTTAAGTCTCACGGAAGAACATGTTATTGTATCTAAGCGCTATAAAATATATATTAGTATTTGTTTGAGCTATATATATGTAGCTGATAATTTGACGTTGCATTTTCTCTAACAGGAAATAATCAAAGAACTGATGAAAAGGCTACCACACATGAAAGAGCTTGTGGATATGTATTGTGGCCCTAATAGAGTGATTGCAAAGCAACAAATGCAGGAGTTAGATAGAGTCGCAAAAACTCTACCAGAGAATATACCTTCATCTGTGAAGAGGTTCATTGATCGTGCCGTTCTTCAGAGTCGCAAAAACTCTACCAGAGAATATACCTTCATCTGTGAAGAGGTTCATTGATCGTGCCGTTCTTTCACTTCAAGTTTTCTTTTTTTCAACTTAGTTTAGTTTCCTGTAAATCTTATAATGTGTCATTCTCTAAAATGAAAAACACTGAATATGGCAAACTGGAATATTTAAACAGGTTTTTGAGTGTTGACTTGGAAATGGAAATGAATGTAATTATTTTATAATGGGAGCAAATTCTTTGTTTATCATAATATGCAACTTGTTTGGAGCATAATTTGATGTTTCATGTTTGGTTTCTTTGTTGATGTGAATGAGAGCAATTTTTTTTGTGGATGTTCAGGTTCAGTGTAGGCTTGTAGTTGACAGAAAAGATTACTTTTGGCGAAGCAAATTAGTATCGACAAAATTATACCTTTTACTGACGCATAATTATATGTTGTCGAAAATTATACTTTTGCCGACGCTATCTTGCGTCGGCAAAAGTATAGCTTTTAGCGACGCTATATTGCATCGCTAAAAGTATAGCGTTTAGCGACGCTTTACTCTGCGTCGCTAAAAGCTGCACTTTTGCCGACGCTAACTTGCATCGCCAAAAGTATAGTTTTTAGTGACGAATAATTTTGCGCCGCTAAAAGCTATACTTTTGCGCCGCAAAATATTATGCGTGGCTAAAAGATATACTTTTCCCGATGCATGACGCGTCACCAAAAGTAACGCAGTGTATTTGCGTCGCCAAATACTTTCGTTGACACACTTTTGGCGACGCGTTAGCGACGCTGCATTTTACGTCAGGAAAGATTTTCCCCGACGTTTTTTAAGCTTTTGCCGACGTTTTTGTTTCGTCGGCAATGTTGTATTTTGTTGTAGTGTTTGTTGAGCCTGGGGACTAATCTATTGGGATAGGGACAGGCATGACATGTTATGGGCATTTCGTCATATTGTTTGAAGGCCATCTCCAAGGCTCTAATAAGTGAAAGCATTCATTTTCAAACCAAGTGAGTGGTTGGATCAGAACATCTTGCAGAGAGGGTTGATCTACTTCATTTACGGTGATTAGAATGGTTAATTGAGGAATTATAACTTTTCTATTTATGATGTAGATCATCGCACGTTATCATCGTCGAAGCTTCTAGATCCATTAGTGTGTCTATGGCTATAAATCGATGTATTAAGATCAAGGAATCACAACGAGTCGGTCATCTACCTTGTTACACGACATCATCATAAAAACATTAGATGAGCATACAACCAGATAACGGAGAGCTTCTGTAATTTATCAGTTAATTACCAACATTCGTTTCAAATACAGAAGTAGCAGATACTAAGGGCACCGAAGAGAGTTAGGTTCTGATAAATCGCTCTACTCTCTTAATAACTTGTAGTTTTTGAGAACTTTTAAGGCGATAACAAACTTTCGGATGATATAGAAGTTTCTAGAAAGTTATGGTCACTCAGAGTATTTCGGATGGAAATTTGAGTGCAACGTATTGTGAACTTGATACACACCACTCTTGACCTACTTTCCCAAATCAACTCAAGAGAACTCACAGCCTGACTCGTGGGCTCCATGACGGTAGCGGCACGAAATAATTTGATATAAAGGGCTGTTTGGTTCATTTTCTAGAAACCTAAGTTTGGTAGATTACTCATGAAAAATTGGTTGTGAGACTCATTTCCATGTTTTCAAGCCCATTACATTGACTTTTTAGAAAGAAATGAGTTTCCTTAAATTTGGGACTCATTGCATTATTATCTTGCTAGTGGGCTCGTCGCACTGTTTCGATCTCCGAATGCGTTTTTAACGGTTTTAAGCGGTTTTCTCGGGATTTATCAATTCTAGAGGTTCCCAACTGACTTGATATCATCCACAAACATGGTTAGGCCGTTATTGACTGAAGATAAGGCCAAATCGATCATTCTCATCTAAATACCCCCCCCAACCGAAGCCTATAAAGACAAGGAGGTGTTGCCGGATTGAAGAGTCAAGGAGCACGAATTTCAGCAAGGGCTAACAAGATCCCAGTGAACTTCGGCATAAAGAAGGAGTCTTTTTCGAAGGATCTAAAGCCCGTTTCCCCCTTTCTTGAGATTAGTCTTGGTCTTAATCTCGAGAAAAGTACTAATTTTGCTTGGTCGATATTAGTACTTTAGCGAATACTTCCTTGGTGAAGTAGGAGCTCTGATCAATTATTCTGTCAAGCGGATCTGATCCGTAGGCGGTCCATGAATTTCAACGTCCCCGATACAGGCAAAGACCCCACACAAACAATAGGCGATAAACATCTGTTGTGTGTTGTTTGATAAAGTTGTAATTTATATTTTTATTGTGTAAGGAGATCTTATAAAAGGATCGACTTTTTATTCATTTGAATTTATTGTAACGCCTGAAGTTGTAATCGATTCATCACAATGAAGAAATCAACTTTTGACCCAAACACGCTGGCGACCACAGTGGGAGCTAATAGCCTTTCTGCGAAAGCTGACGTGTCGTAACCTCGGATCCGGATCCCAATGGAAGAAGAGGTCGAGTTCGAGTTCGAACAACAGAAGTTTGAGGAGTATCTGTCATCCTCCTCCTCTAGATCCTCCTCCACTCGCAAGCGTAGGAAGATCAACGCCCCTGTTGCTATGGTAGCTGCACCTTGCAATGCCCCTCCGGCCTCCAACAAGGCCGGATCTAAAAATCTGAACTCCTCCTTAATTAGGAAGTTGAGAACTGAAGGCGTCCCAATCCTATTGAAGAGGGCACGCAAAAGGCAACGCTAACGACTCATGCACCAACTTGCTAAAGCTTTAGAGTCAGTTCACGGGATTCGCTACGAAGTGGATCTAAAGTCCAGAAGGTGCTAACCACCACAATAGCGAGCGAACAACCCCTCCTCCTCTAAATCATCAACAGGTGAAAGGATCCAAGTCAAAACTACCCGTTTAACTCTTGAGGAGCGGATTCAGAAACACCGCATATTGCTTGCACACGTACAAATTCTTATGCAAAAGGCACAAAAGATGCAGAAGAAGGACATAGCTAAAAAAAAACCAAAGCTGCATCAAACTTGGAGGCCAAAGTCCAAAACAGCGGTCGAAAAGTTCAAAAATTGAGGGTCACTTCAATCTGACCCTCCAAGCCAGGGGTCACTCAAGTCTGAC